TGGTAGAGGATAACATGAAAAGAGAAAACATATAGTGAAGCATTTAATGATAACAATATTAAAATGAAAAACAGTTAAAATACACTCACAAATAAAGTGGCGGGTTACTACCACCTGTGGCCACCCCTTCCTGGTTGTACACAACCTTAGAGTGATTATAGCTGCTAGCCAGTGATAATAGTGGCTTGCAGAAGGGCAATCGTGGCATCACCCAAACACTAGTTGAGACTTAGTGAAGGGTGAAGAAGAACTGTTTATTGCAGGCAAGATACACAGTATTTATGCACAGACCATCGCTGTGTCTGGGAGATGATGATATCTCCCGGACACAGGAAGCAAAACACACAAACCCCCCCCCCCAAAAAAAACTCACACCATAGAGTAATGCACCCCTACATGCCATTCATCCCCAAATACCTCCTGGTCCCAGCTATGATCCCTGCAAATTGCGGAGCTAACGGATGTACAGAGCCTTAGAAATCGTTGTACAAAGTCTGGGCTTGAGGCTTTGTACATACCCGTGAAATAGCTCCAAAGAATCACTTGGTTTCGGCCAGAGATTCAAATTTCCTGCCTAAACCACACGGCGGCCAATCAGGAAAAAGAGCATGAACCAATTTGCACCAATCGGTGCTCAGGGAGGGGAGGTGTTTTGGCAAGCCAATCGGGAGAAAGGTCTAAAAAAAGCAGTATGAATGGTAACCCTTCTCCTATTCTCCTATTGGCTGGCACAGACTTCCAGGTGGAGTCATAGTTCCATGGGGTTCGTGTCTCCGGTGGATATCTCCACATGGGTAGCACTGGAGAGAGCACTCTTGGGCGGTTAGCCCGTCACAGGGCTTAGTCCCTTGAGTAGAGTAAATAGCTGCCGATAGTACCTCAGGATACCAGAATGTCAGTGATAACTTCCAGTCTAAGGAGAAACTTGTTCTGGATGCAGTCCTGTAGTAATCCTGTAGGAATGGCTTCAATCTCTCAGTCTTATCGGGGGGCACTCGATAAGCTCAACGCGTTTCGTCCAATCTGACTTTTTCAAGAGCTGAGTGTCTTCTTGTATTCCGGCGTTTAAATGCAGTGTTTCACATGGCTTTCTGGTGCGCACGCATGCGCAGACCAGGAAAGAACATGTTGTCTAGCGTCGTCACGTATCAATATCCCTCCATGCATGCGCACGCATCCAGCCTGTAACGCAAATAACTTTATTGATAATATTCGCAAGTAGACACAAGTTCCGAGCAGATAATTTAAAATCATATGGAACAAAGTGCAATAGCGATTTGTTACACATATAAAGCAATGTGTGATCCCATAAACTTAGATTCTGTGTGTGAAGAACCAATGTAAATAAAAGTATCTAAAAGATAATATATTAATAATAAAATACTAAATATAATGATCTATTTGCACGTAAGGAATCGTTTGTGGGGATCAAATAGATACACTGACTTATGCAAGTATATTGAAATCTCTATCAAACTGTACTAAAATGCATAAAGGGGCACAATTTAAAAAGCATACTTAAAAATGTATTTATCAAAATTGCACAAATCGAAAGGTATTGCAGAGAAGGCAAAAAGGTAAAAAAGTAAAAAAACAGAAATGGAAAATGACCATATATAACCTCACATTCTAAAAAAAAGGGTAAAAAAAATGAAAACGAGTGTAGTAATGGAATAGCTATTAATGAATAAATATGATTATATAATCTAAAAGTAAAGAATGGATAAAAGGATTAGGCCAGCACTCAAGAGAAATTTACTAATTGAAAAAAAATAAATAATACAAAATAAATAAAAAAAGATATATAAATAGTAAAACATGTGTACCATTAAAAATCACAGGTGGAATTAATCCATAAAAAATAGCATATCCAGATCTACATTTAAACCCATAGGCGTTGTAGTTTTCAATCTATGGATCCATTCTGTCTCTTTCATGGCCAGTGCTTTTTGTGTGTCACCTCCTCTCCAGTGGGGGGTGATCACAGCAATGCCAATACAAACAAAATTTTGGAAGCTAAAGTCTTTACAATTTCCACAATGTTTAGGTACACTGTGTTTAAATTTTTTAATTATGCTTTTTCAATTCTGCTCCTTTATGGCATTTTAGTACAGTTTGATAGAAATCCTCTAGCATCTGAGTCGTAATTATATTCACACATTTGTGAAAGTGGCGCCCTATTCTGTATATGTTTTTTAACTGTACTACATTTTTTTTAAATATATATTGTCGAGATTTGGGAGTGATCCTTTTTGTTAGTGGCTTGCCTGCACCTGTTCTCTGCATTTTTTCCACTTTCCAGTCTTTACAAATGCACATTACACATACAGATATAATTGCGTGGCCTTACGGACATTACTACAACTAACACATACAGTCACACTGATATTACCCAAGCAGAAGCATTTGCTCTCACAGAGACAATGGCTGACTGTAGGCATGTGAGAGTCTGTATGTAAGGGGGAATGTGCATATCCTGTCTGTAAGTGTGCACACAAACATACCCACACTTTCTCATACATACAGAGGGAAGTATGTGGTTAAAGATATATCAGGGTTATTCACCATAGTGAGAATTGATAGGAATTCAAACGGGTTATTCTCTAAAGTGAAAGTCAATTTCAAGTTTAACGTCTTAACAGGCGAATTGGAAAAATTCTCTAACTCAGTCATACTTTCAGTTTGACCTTTCATTTCAAATTCACTTAGTATTTCCAGGAATTATCAGTAAATCACAATTAAAAAGCAAATTAGAAATCAAATTTTCCCAGGTCAAAACAAAATTACTGAATCAGAAAATGTATTTGCCATATGAATATCCTTTCACCTTTCCAGTGTTTAAAACACATTTTTAAAGTCTTTTTGTGCCCCAAACAATAACCACTTCTTACGGTTATGGCAACCAGTTAGGCAGTGCTTAGCTAAACAGCTACATATTGATAGGTTCCTGATTTTCCCGGCTACTTCCTAGTGTCAAAGTGTGGTGTGCTCATTCCCCTACCATCAATATAAGCAGACCTAAGACACTGCGCTATGTTCTCTGTAAAACCATTAATTTTCTCTGTGTCATAGTGGTCAGATCCACTAAATAGCAAGATAATACGTCTATCTAAATATGTACTAATATCTTCAATAAAATAAATATATTAGACTAAATTACTTATTTATAATCAATACCCATGAACCCAAATTTCCACATCGTCTCTCGAGTGTAGTGTCTGCCACACTCCAAATCACTGTTAAGAAGACCAAATATCTGTAACACTATACATATGGGCATTTATAGTGTAATATATTTATTAAATAATCAGAAAAATGTTAAAATCCACATAGATACATACATGGTGCCAGCAAGTAGGCGCTTAAATTATAACCAGTTTGCAGCTTTAACGGCCAAAAAACACCAGATCTACTGTTAGTTGTTTCGTGAGTGAGACTCAGGCTGGTTGGTGAAATTCAGCTTTGGTGCACGGTAAGGCATCAATGATCACTTAATTCCTACGCGTTTCGTAGGTCTGCACGTACTTCCATAGAGAATGAAAGTGAACACCTATTGACAGGTAGAAGCCCCATACCTATCAAGACTGAAAGTCACACACAGAACAGTCAGTGGATCATGTGGTTTTTGGTAGTTGAAGCTGCAAACTGTTTGATATATGTTAAGTGCCTACTTGCTGATACTACGTTTCTTAGTAGCTCTGTGTTGACATCTATATTTTTCTGACTTGTGTGCTTCTGTTACAAAGATTTTTTTTTTCTGTTTCCTAGTGTTGTGAGAGATCAAACCTCATGATTCATTTTATGGAAATATAGATAAAAAAAACTTTATAAGTGGGCATTTTTTTATTTATTTTTGATTGGATATTTGTTTTTCTCTAGATACCTCTTTTAAATCTGTAAATTATTAAATGTTAAAAAGCCTTATATTTTTGCCAGGAATAATTTCCTGCTGTGGAGTTATGTTTTGTTAAGCCTACAAAAGGCCAAGGGATTACTCTAGATTAGTTGTTGTATATAATCAGTGGCAAGCTTGAAAAGTATTTATTGTCCAATTATCTTATGTATGAGTGCCCCCCAAAATATAAACCATATTCCCTCATTCATAAATTGATAACTTCTATTCAAATACGACAGAAGCAGTTAAATATATACGGTAGTTCATGAAAAAAGACTATTGTTATCAGGCTATTAAACTGAGAATCACCTATATATTGTATCAAATGACAACTGTCACCTAAAAAACCCCAAAACATTATTTCATATAATAATCCTTTGATCAAGTATTGAAAGGAAATATTTTTTTTTTTTTAAATAAAGTATATGTAAAAATGCTCCTTTCTGCACGGAAGCAGGGAAAACTATAGGGACTGGTTTCAAACACTGTCCGACCCAAGATGCATATATGCGGCTGAAGGATCTTGTCATATACTAAAGGAAGGCGTGAGGTTTTATTAATTTTTATTTGACGTATACTTTGACATATACACTTAAAATTAAAAAAAAAATACATATTTCCTTTCAATACTTGATCAAAGTATTGTTCTATTAAAACATATTTTTTTAGGTGACAGTTGTCCTTTAGCTTATTTTTGCAACCAATGCTGACTTTTCTTCTAAATGCATAATAAATCAGTAATAATTAATATTACAATCCAGTTTAGTTCTGGCATAGATAAATCACATAATGAATTGGTCCAGAGATAAATATATGCATTTCATTTTATTTTTCACACCCCACAAACGCGTACTTGTTACTTAAACGGGATAAGTTAACATATCATTAAAATCCTGGAAAGTGACAATTTCGCTTTAAAACCCAGATCAAAATTTAACTTAAACAATGCGTAAATATAACAAGCAATAGTTTGTTCTGTGTTTGTGAGAAATTTTATTTTAATATGCAGAGCCACACTGGCCCCTCTATAGATCTTACAACTAACAAGACATATTTCTCCATTTTTTATTTATGAACTCCCTGTAAGCAAACATGCTTACAAAGCCATAATGTTAATAAATATTGATACTGAAAAATACAAGTCACTTCCCGCAGTAAGTAAAACAGTCAAATTTGATAAACACTATGTATTCTATCACTTCAGTAATCCGGAACGAGCAATATCTGCTTGTGCAAGAGAAAAATGACTAGTTCAATTAATTATAGTTAAATAAATCACCACGTACGTTATATAAGTGGGTGTATAATTAATGCCTAAGTAAGTCTTTGGGCCATGGTGGTTAGGTCAGGTTGTGTTTATTCTTAATTTGTTTTATTTTTGAAATGTGTGGGTAGTAAATACACATCGTATATATATATATATATGAGCACTCACACGTTTTGTTGTTCGGGTATTGTGCTGCTGATTTGAAGCTATTTGTTGCCGATGCAAAGTAAGGTCGACATTTCAGCCACGAATCCGATTTTTAGCAAATCTCTGATTTGGTAAAACGCCAATTAGGCACTGAAACATCAACCTTGCTTTGTATTCGCACCAGACTTCTTCAATAAGGCAGGAAAACACCTCAGCAACAAGACTTGTGAGGGCTCTCTTTCGTTTCTTTATTTTTCTGATCGGAGTTTAACACTTGGCTAAGATTTTTGCATGGAGACTTTGAGTCCCTTGCCCATGTGTTATATCTATATATCAGATAAGGTCTTTCATTCTTTGGGAGTATAACACATACTTTGTTTAAGCATCTGTGTTTAGGACAGTGCTCTTTGCTAAGAAATCTGTCATTAAGTCTTAGATATAGATATATAGACAGATAATATTAAAGTGGGATTTAGAGTGGGATTATAGCATAGTACAATGGCATCAGCTTGACTGTACTACTCATTGTCTTGGCAAGGTTCATGATACGCCAGTGAGTCTTCTATATTTTGTTCCCTATAAACCCTGTTACCACAGGCCACCTCTTATTAGCTTGGCATCAACAACAGTTGGCAAGTCACAGTTTTGCCTCCTGCCGGCTGCAGGTAAGTAATGTGTGCAAATCAAGTTTGGCATAAAAACTCTTTCAAGCCAAGCTTTTGTGGATATCTCTGCTGCAACATTCAGTATGTTTGAACCACTTGTAAGATATGCTAACCTACACGCTTGACCCTAATTTGGTGTTATAGGTGCGCCCGTTTCTGGAGTTTCTGTAGTCCTTGGAGCACTTCCTTTAATCATCCTGTAATAGATAATTTATTGCCATTAATGTTGTTTGCAGATCAAAGAAAATACTTGACGGCAGAAGACAATTAGAGAAGAGACCGTAGAAGTATTAATCTGTTTACCTCGATGATGTTATGGATCCAATCCAAGAAGGATACTATCTTGGTGTATACACCAGGACGATTGGGCTCAGCACAACCCATTCCCCAACTCACTACTCCAACCAAGCGCCATGTGTAGTCTGTCTGACATACTAAGGGCCCACCACTGTCTCCCTGCAAGGATAAAGGGTTAGGGAAGGTCAAAGAACTGAGGAAAAGATCTATTCAACTTTTTTTTTATCACTGTACAGTGTGCATACAAAGACTAGAAACCACAATTGGCAAATGAAATACAGTTATCTATTTATGCGCATTCGCAATAACTAAATCATCTTACATTTAGGGATATGTACCAGAGCTGCTGGAACTAGATACAAGATTAGAAGCAACAATGATGCTAATCTTTCATTTCTGTCATTCTATTGAATACAATATTTTAATAGATTGTCATGTAACCAGGCTCTGTAATATATTTAGCTTTGATTGACACTTCTTAGTGTTGAGGTGATCAACTTGTATTTGCATCACAATCATCACACCATCATATTAGGCGTGGTGAAGCATAAAACAATTGAAGTGATACATTATTTTGATATTGTATCGTCCCCTAGTTAAAAAGCTATTTATTTTTTCCCAGAGAAACGTCTTGCAGCAGTGGTAAAACTTGCTATACATTTACCACCGAAAAGAACTTGTGGCCACATACATGGGCGGTCAGGGGCCTTGCAGATTGCTGCACACAGTCAGGATTCACAAAATCATTAACTAGGCTTAAATTAGCTGTTGTATGGCTGCTGTCCGCTTATTGAGCTGTTCCACTCATCCTGTGTCATGACTGGAACACAGGAAGGAATAAGCTTCATATGATGTTAGTATGAACAAAAAATATGCAGCTTGAGAGTATTATCCATAAATGAAATTGGTATGATGTAGAGATACTGGCTATACATTTTATACAAGGAGTATTTATTCAGATGCCATTTTGTTTTGTCATTTTGGGTTTTGTGAATCTTATAATACCATTCTTATTGGCTAAAATAATTTTATAACAAAAACCATCAGGAGGGTCCTGCTTTTATCAAATCTCAAGCATTTCTGAACAAAATTAAACTTGTAATTTTGATTGCACAGAAGTAGAGCTAACTGATAGTGTCTCTCTTCTTTGTTTTACATATTACACCAAATACTCCTCCATTGTCCCATTCCATGTTACCCACATTTGAGGACATTTTGTGGGGCTACTTCCACCATCACATGCATACATCCTATCGCTGACTGGAAGAGAGATACTCCTGATTAGGTTCTTTCAGCTGCTTTCTCCATTTCTCCAGTACACCTCAAGTGCTAAACCTATCATTAGATCCTTATACTAGAGAAACATTGGGACACACCAACAAGGCTTCTCTTAGACAAACCATGGCTTCTATCTGAGAAGCACTCAGATCTGCTTTCAACTATTCTTCAATTCAAGTAAGTCATGAAAACCTCCCTGCTGTCAAGAGATGTTACTAAGTAGATTTATTAATATGCTGATTTCACTTGAAATTAGCACTTATATAATATTCCTGCAGGCACATGCAGTTAACCCCTAAACCAACTCAGCAAGGTGAATAACCTACCTTTAAAGGAGCTATGTGACAAATTATACATAGGCCTAATCAAGGCAAGATTTTAAGTTAGCTCCTAAATATTTTCACACACCTGATAAGAAATAAGTTATGCATCCCAAGAAACGGTTTGATTACTTACACTGGGGGTAGGGGTGGGGTGGGTTTGGCAAAAATACACTACAGTGTTTATGGTGATTAAACAGGTGTAGTTGTTTTTTATTGCCATTAAAAGATTTACAATATTTGAAGTGAAATAGGTGAAGTGGATTATTTTTGGAGTTGGTCGTTTTTAACAAGTGCTAGTTTAGCTGAACCCTAGAATGAGACATTCCGCTGGTAGTGTCTCTGAATGGAAAGCAGTATCAGTTCTACCATCGGCAGTTCTTGCATTTCAAATAAAATGACAACATTTCACGTGTCCTTATAAGATTAAAAGTATTTTCAATTTTAGCTGGTACATTATTTGTAAAGTTTGCATGAATTAGCTGGCTATCTTTCAAAGATAGTGATGTTAAAATAGGCTGTGAGATAAATAATATCTAAATATTTTATAAAAGGAAAAATAAAACAACTGTTAACCTCTGTATAAATAAAACATACATATAGTGTAAATACTAAAATCCACGGGGATGCATTTTGTAAACCACAATATTTAAAATAGCGTTTCATAACTATTTATATATATATATTTTTTTTTTATTAATCCGGTCATTAGAGTAGAGTTGCTGTAGTCTATTACTTTGAAGTTCATTGATACAAATCTCAATCAGCATTTTAATATCTGTCCAATTGACTTTTTGTTTTATAAGAAAGTGCATTTTTTTTAAGATTATGTGATTTGGAAGCTTTTATGCCTACACTGTTTATTCTGTGCATCTTTTATTTTATATTCTGAAAGAGTTAACACTGCTAAAGTTCTTTTGCGGATATTTTTACTCACTCGTGTATTTGCCTTCAGCAAACAGTGACATGCTTTTCTCCTTGTGAATTCAGTGGTCATTACATAGTTCTGCTGGAAGTTGTTTATTGAGCACAGAGACTGAAGGAACTCAAGGGAGCTCGATAAATATATGTCAAGGATGTCCGGTACTTAATAGTAGCAAAGGTTACGTTGAATATACAGAGATTGGTGTTTAGGAGCTGATTAAATCACCAATGAAAGTTAATTAGTAACTCCTGGGGAACTGTAATTAGAATGAGACAAGTAATGATATTGACTTAAATAAAAAAAAAAACTCCATAGAAATAAAATAACATGATATATATTACACATTGGGAAGTTGTAATTGTATCCTACAATATTAACAAACAGATTGCAATGTATCTATCTCAAAGGGACATTGCAGACCACTTAAGCATTTCAGCAAGCTGAATTGCTTTATGCGTGAAGAGTGTGTCCTCATTTTTTCATTTAACAAAAAGTGCAGATATCAATAGATATTGGCACTTTTGTAAATTAAGCTGGTTACGCCCCCTTTCTGTCAATCAGACAACAGGTCCTATTACTTCCTGGTTTGGTTAGCTCAGTGGAGCTTCAGGAGGCAGCAAGTGCTCAAAGCACCTGCCTTAAAAACACTTCTCATTAAGCTGCAATTGGGAAGTCTGTTATTGGACAGCCACATAACGTTTGTGCATGGTGGGGGAGGCCTGCAGCTTTTGCAAGGTTTGTTTTCAGATACAGTCCAATGAAAAAAATGCAGTGAGTTTTTTTTTTCTCTAAACTGTCCTCTTTTGCTGTCTTTGCTTCACTTAGAAGACTGGGGGAACACCTTCCTTCATTGTTCGACAAAGTGCAAGATTTGAGCCAAAGTATATACAAAAGTCATGGCAACAGCTGCATCAAAATACATCTTTGTATAATGTTGCAATAATCTCTACAAAAGGCCTAACTTTTATAAAAACAAATTTCATTTTTTTTAAAATGCACTTGAAATGTGTCATGTACTGAAAACAGACAGGAGATCCAGACGGTGATAATCTTATTTTTGCTGCTATAAGACAAGCTGTTTCAATAGAAATCAATAAAGCACAGCTTATTGAATCCTCTAACATGATATTAAATAACAAAAAACATTTTATAATTCAGGAAGTTGAGAACTAGTAAGGAAGCTGATGGTTTCTATATCTGCGTCTGTAGTAGAAATGAGTGGTTCTGTGGTACAGAAAGACCTTTCAACCCCAGCTCCATTGTGCAGGCACAACAAAATAGTAATTTAAGGTATTAACTATAAGGTTGTATTTTGAACGTGCATTCACTTTCACAGTGGAGCTGTGTGTGCACAGACTGTATACGTTTCTACAGTAATATTACTGTATTTATAACATGCAGTCAAACACGACATCCAACAAACCAGCCAGTTCAAGTATTTCAAGTGTTCCAGCTCAAGCACACCTGGCGCAACTAATGAAGTCCTTGATTAGTTGCATCAGGTGTGCTTCAGTCTGTTTTGCATATTTGTGCTGTTGTAAGGAATTCTATTCAGAGGGTTGAATAATTTTAAGACTGTAGAAGTCATTAAAACTTGCATTTTCAGTTGAATCTAGGGAAACAACTTGAAGCGTTCATTGTTCAATTCACTCTAACACTTGCTCCGTGGCGGATGTTCGTACAAATCAACTTGCGAATGGTCCTCAGTGATACTTAGCCACGACCGTTATGGGACCTTTTCGGCTAGGTGACTTTGTTGTTCCCCGTCATCTTGGTCTGATGCTATGACCCCCTTGCCGACACGCCAGGACAGCGCTTTTTGGAGGGAAGGTGCCAGTGACTGTGAAGAACAATCTCTCTCTGAGAGCCTGGAGGAGCACCCCGTATTTTGCCTGCAGGATCGCCTGAAAGTTGACCGGCCAAAGCACTAATCGCTCTGGAACTATTTTAGGCATGGACCACGTGTGCAGCCAGTCAGAACTTTGCTCCAGTGGCAAATCCACTACACTGCATGGATCTGAGTGCTTTTTTGACAACTTGGACGTTCAAATCAGGGCTCTTTGGAGATATAGGACATGTGGCATTCCTGTATGTTTAAGCTATGTTTGAGGTACTTTTATGCTTTTTATGTTTGCCTTTCTGTATCTGGAGATAATTAACTTAATGGTCCTTGACTCAATTATCTGCCAGTCACAGAGACGCCAGGGTGGGGATTGCAATGTATTGTATGGAGACCCCATGTTGGGGTCTGTGCATAAAAGGCAAGGTTTGGTTCAATACAGTCAGTTGTACTCCCAGAGCTGTGTGTTTTCCTGTTATTGGGTAAAAAGAGAGCTGTTGCTCTACCCTGTTCCAGGAAGGAGAAGTTCGAGGAGGACCCCAGTCGCCGTGACTTGAAGTGCTGCAGTTTCCCCGGCTCCAGATAGGAACTGATCCTTGGCAGAGGTACCCAACCGGGGTACAGGAAGCTCTGAAAAACCTTGGAAAGCAATGTTCTATCCCCACAAAAATCATTCTTTAGCCAGGAAATTCACATCCTCAAAACTTCAAACAAGAACAGACTAAAGACTGTTAAAAACAAGCTAAATTGCAGCCACTGTATTTTTTATTACATAGTTATTGACTCGATATTTCAGAAAAATATTTTCGAATATAATTATTGACCTACAGGTGGTGGTGGAACTACCGCAGTCGCAGGGGTCGCAGCTGCGACCACGCCCATCACTCCAGGAGGCCCTATGCCCTGAGGATCCCTGCGACCGTGTGCCTGCCGGCATGTGTTGTGGCCCCGGCCCACGCGGTGTTACCACCGGGGCCGCATTGAAGGGACCCATCGGGTGACCCCGGTAAGTTCTGCACTTTAACAGCATGACCTGACCCCCTCTGATGATGTCAGACGCTGGGAGGAATTTACTGCCCTGGTCACTTCCTCCCAGCTGACTCCCATCAGCCTGCGCCAGTGGACCCCAGGGAAGTCACCCTCCTGCACCTAAAAGGTAGGAAACAGGAAAGTGACTTAAACATTTTGCATGTGTGTGTGTTTGTGTATGTGTGTCTGTGTGTGTATGTGTGTGTGTGTATCTGTATGTATGTGTCTCTGTATGTGTCTCTGTCTGTATGTATGTGTCTCTGTATGTGTCTCTGTCTGTATGTATGTGTGTGTGCGTCTGTGTGTTTGTGTCTGTATGTGTGTATGTGTATGTGTGTGTGTGTATGTATGTATGTATGTGTGTGTCTACTTGTATGTGTGCCTGAATGTGTGTTGCTGCATGTGTATCTGTTTGTCTGCATGTGTGTGTGTGTGTGTGTGTGTGTGGGGACCTATTTGGTGGGGGGGTACACATATGGGGGGAGCCAAGGACAATTTTCCCCATAGTTTCTAGTTACGCCTTTTCCTACGGGGTTATTATCTTAATGCTGAATTGTAAAAAAATTGAAATCTGAATTGTGGAATGAAGGCTAAAGTATCTCATCGGGAAGCATTATCCAACTAAGCTGTAGTCACAGCTTGACAATTTAAGCCTGAATTTTGCAATTCAAAATTTTTATTTGCTACAAAAATTTTAATTGGAGTTTAGTGAAATTTGGTATTTAGGTAATCAGAACATTTTGGTATTTAGATCATCAGAACATTTTGTGTCTAACAATACATAGCTCAACTGCTCAACTGCTCACCTGGCAGGCGTCAACTTTGCCATCTAAGTATCCTGCGCAAAGCATTCTTGGAGTAATATCACCATTGTAGATGCAAGAGCTGTTGCATTTCTTTGTGCTAATAATGGGAACCATTGCTTCTTTCAGACTTCGAGGCATGTGAGCTACGCAGAATAAAAAATACAAATAATATTTTGTACTAAAATATATTTTTTTTCTTTTTTTTCTTTTAGCACTTTAGAAAACAAGGAAATATAGAACTTTAGAAAACAATCAGAATTTTTTTTATTATTCATTTTTGACTTTATAGAAACAAAATCAAGGACATTTGTAAACATCAGAAAAGCAATCAAGGTACATAGAAATATCCCTCAAAGGGCAATCACATTTTTTGTTGAGCAGGACCAATAAAACAGTGAATCAGATTTGTTTTAATCATACCCAAACACATTTTAAATTGAAACATTCTAGATTTAAAGATGGAATGTGTCACATTTCTATTTCACTATAGACCTACAGATAGCTAGATAGATAGATAGATAGATAGATAGATAGAACAGGGAGCTCATTGAGCCATAACCCAAGCAAGGGGCATAAACACTTGTGGTGTCCCTTTAATAGGGAATAATACCTTTCAAGTGTCCCTAATCACACAGAATAGTCCTAATTTGGCTCTTCTGTCCTCAGTCATTCCTCTTGTATGTTGCTTTTTGAGGACATCAAAGTAAATGTCCAAAACACAGAGTGCAAACACAACACTTAGCACACTTGGAGCTTCACAAGAACACAATGTCACCCGGTCACTGGCAAATCCAACTCTTTCATCTTACATACTATGCTGCCCAAATCACCTAATTTTGGACACGCAACATCTCAACAGAACTTTACTTGTAAAATATTAACAATGATCTTTTATGGAGACTTTAAATGAATAATTACTTTTGTATTCATGGTATTTCCTGACTATTCTGAAAACTGATGTCCTGACTTTGTCAATAATTGTGTTACTTTTATTGTTGAAACCCTATGATAATCTGCCTCCTTATTGCCTTTGTTCACCCTGTCCTTTAAACTATCTGAATGTATTGCATTAGAGTTACACTCCAGACACCATAACCACTACACTCAGCAGTGGCTATGGTGCCAGGAGTGCTATGTACTCTCCTAGGGTAAGCAATCAAACTATCTAAAAGTGTTTGAGAGCTAACTTGGGATTCTCTGGGGGCTGGTCGAATCCTCCCATTAGCTCCACTGAACCAAGCCTTGCTGTGCAGGAGCTTCTGGGACACAAATGATGGAAACTGGCACCCAGAAAATCCCAGATAAGTTGCCAAATCATTATCAGATGTTTTGACTAATTACCCTAGCAGAGCACAATGGTACAGTAGTAGTTATGGTGCTTGGAGAAAACTCTATAGCCCGATAATAATCATCCCTGTTTCTCTTTATCTATTTAGTTCCTAATTTGTCATGACATATGTTTGCATGTCAGGCGATACTATCCTAACACAACTACAGCATGCCCTCTGCACATGCATGGGAGCCTGCGTGGTAACCTGCACGTGTCAGTTTAGCATGCATGTAAATCTTCATGCGTATATTGCCTACTGGCATGCCACCAGTAATGTTGTGTGAGTTGTAAGGTAAGTACAAATAACACATTTCCTTGGCATGGTTTCAAAATTCCGTTTTGTTTCAATTTTCCCCCAAATCCATGAAGTATTATTTAATATTGATGTCTCCATCTCTTCATAGTGTATATGTTTACAACATGCATTTTTCTGTGCACCTTGAGAATAGCTGTTCTAGAAGACATCTTCTTTTGAAGGTTCTGAAGACATTGTCTCCCATTTGTAATGGCAGTATTCTTACCTCTTGTGTGTTTGCTTCCACTATATATGTTAATGAACTGTATTGTTGATAATATACCATGAACATTAAAGTGGTAGAAGAATATAAAACATTTTTGAGTCCTGCATTAATGAATCAGCAGAGTTGATCATGTATCAACACTGGACCTTGATTGATGGCCCATGATTAATGGATGAATGAAGCTACTACATAATTTGGGAGGAAAATGTGTAAAAGCTGTACCAAGCTGTTTTACAACAAATACTTTCTACGTTATTCAGTAAATTCTGAATTGTGCTGTACTGAAAACTAAATTGAAAAATATAAGCTAAATTTGCCTAGCTATGTCTATTAAGGAGTTCTAGAATTTTTTTTACACTTTGTGTTTTGGCTTTTAATTCTCTTCAATTCGGTTTTAGTGAATAAATCATCTTTGAGTTTTTGGTAAACATATATATATATATTGATCCAGATATTATGAAATTAATTCTGTCATACAAATGGGATGATTTGGGACTTCTATAAGGTGTCTACTTACAGCTGTCAGGGTGAATGTGGCCCCATCCTGAGACCCAGCACTCTGTACCAGCTGCAAATTCTTGGTCATACTGAGGTAGACACACCGGGCGCACGCTGTCTGTGCATAAAACATATTGTTTAGTTAATGAATCAAAGGTCAGATGTCAAAGGTCACAATCAACTACTAAATCTAGATAGATTAGAAGCACACATTACCTTTATGTATCTGAACAAGCTAAAACGTGAGTTTGGTGTATATATAGATTGAGTTAAAGGTGGACTAGATGATGAACATGAATTGACAACACCCCAGTTAGGGGAAATAATTGGGATCTGTCTAAATGAAACAACAGAATGTCTTTATGTGATTCATTACAAGCCCTTTTGTAGGAGCTACATTAACATTGTAATAATTTATTTATATGTTTGGGTTAATGAAGTACGCTACCATATTCCCATAGTGCTGTTCCAGTAGTTCCATCAGAGCATCATTGTCCCCTTGCTGAACATTCTCAAATTAAATTAGAGTAAATTTCAAGAAGCTAGCTTGGTTAAAAAAGAACCCGTAGCAATATTTTGCATAATTCTTTTGGTTCTGAAACAGGTCCATATAGAAATCTAGAAATTCTTCAACCATATACCATTTTCCTAGGATATACCCAATTGATTCATGTATTTTTAAGCAGTGACTTCGAACGTTATACATCAGTAAAAGTAGCCATTTTGAATTTACTAATTTATTTAATCAGTTTAAAGCATGAAAATTAACATTTTCTATTTCTCCACCTTGAAAAACTCTGACCTGAATAATTTAACGGTTTTTCCAGTTTCATCATTGCAATGTCATAATCATGGTTCCGTTCCTCATACTTCTGGTGGTGGATGATCTTCTCTATGGCAGAAGCTCGTACATTCTGTCTCATGGAACTGTGGCTGACCATGCCTGAATATACAGACCAACTGGACAACTGTGGAGACCTATAGCTTAAAATAGGGAATTTGATATTTGCTGTAGAACACAAGGAGAATGTAGAGACACGTAGAAACATTTTTACATTTTTTCCAACAATTTCCAGGTGGATTCAAGAAGTGATTTTTCAAAAGAAATCATCAAATAGGTTAGTGCTATACCCTGTTTTTCCATGCAGATGTCATTTCATGACAGTCCTCCTATTTTCATGCTAGAGAAAGACCAACAACTAGCACAGATTTATGGGTATTGCAGTCCTATAGCCATAGGACATGTGACAATCCCAAATTAATTTGAGATAAACTCATCACAGGTACTAAAGTAACACCACAACCATTACATCATGGAATTTACACCACCTACCCACTCACAGGATTGTCCATCTGAGCAAAATAATCACATCTAACTTACAGTGACTGGCCACCCCATTCCACCGCCATCTTGCAGGCACTTTGAGCTGCAATCAGTACTGCCCTTGTCCCACATCCTGGGATGTATTTTGTGTGGGTATAGGGGTTGTAGCTGTGTGTAAAGGGAATGTATTGTGTTCATGGGAAAGGAGTGTATGTGTGTAGGGGATGTATTGTGTGTTTGCAGGGAATATTTTAAAGTGTGCGTCAGTGAATGTGTAAAGGAGGAAATGTGTGTGAGGGATGCAGTGTGTGTAAGTAAGGTTGTGTGTTTGTGTAAAGGATGCAAGTTTAATGTAAGGGAGGAGGCGTGTGTAACGCAGAAGGTGTGTGTGTATAGTGGATGGATTTGTAAATGGGAAGCAACTGCAATTGCAAATTTACAATTCTACTATAGTTATAGTCAATACAAATCTTTTTCCATTATCCCGACCAGTCTCCATACATAAAAAAACAACGTGTAATGCCACATATGTATCTGTTTACACCCAGGAGAGAAACTTAAATGCCAACTGCGGTAGATCAATAACTTATCTAATGCTCTTACTGGAACCAAGACATTGAGTTTGAATAAAGTGTTTATTTAAGTGGAAGCATGCAATTTACTCTCAATCAGATCATTTGAACTTGACTTGCATTGCCAAATATAATTCAACTCTAGTTGTCATAATGCATCAAGACCTACTTGTGTACACAGTGTGCAGCAGTTATGATCCACTGATGAGCCACGATAGAGCCACCACAGACGTGTCTGTTGTTAAGATATAGACTGACCTGCCATGGCCAACGACCTAGTGAAACATCACTTCCCCCAATAATTCGGGAAGATTTAGAGCGAGATCCACATTCTATGGTAAAATAAATGTTTTAAGAGAGGTTATCTTGGTGCAAGTTCATCGTCTTAAAGTGAAAAACATGTATCTGTATCGGTGGGATCAGTAATACAAATTAACAATATATATTATCAGCATTTCACTGATTAACCAGTCATCAGAGGAGAAGGGAAGCAGTTCATGCACTTTTGAAGCTTTATGAGTGCACAGAAAAACATTCTAACGCTACTCCTTTAAAAAAAAAAAATCTACAAAGATTTAAAAATAGATAAATTCTTTTAAAGAATAAGTTTACACTTTATTACTGAGTATCAATTTCCCCATAGATTTCAATATACAGGTTAAGTTTTATGTCGCATTACAGAGAACTCATTAAGCCATGTTTACCTACCTCTCTGCTCCAGTGACGGTCTTCACCTGGTGGAGAAACTAAAGTCTCTGCCTTGGCTTTAGTCAGTTTCCCTAAGTTATCTAGAAAGACTACCTGTCCTTCTCTCCTCCCTTATAGTTGTTAAGTTATATATATATTTTAAATATAATTTAATTGCAAATTGTTTAATAAAAATAAAAATGAACGCTTTCATAGGGAGAAACTAAAAATACTCAAACAAGCAGCTTGAATTTAAATGTAACGTGTTGCTCACTTATTAACTTTATGAGCTTGTAGTAAGTAACAGTCAAACATTTCATAGAAGATTAGAGGATATCTTTATTTACCGATGTTTATACCGCAAAAAATAAAATAAAAAATACAATATATATATATATGTATATATATATATATATATATATATATTAAATCTTATCTAATTGTATAGCTATTTTTAATAAGTCAGCACTCTAAAACAATTAAATTGACACTAAATTGTATAAGCCCAAGTATAGGAATACTTGAATATAAGTTACTAAAAAATATGTTTAAGTCACAAATGATAGGGCTATATGAATAAAATGCTTCTTTTCAAACAATATAATTACTTTTAAGCTGAATGTAACTTCCTCATTCTTTTCTAAGTATAATTCGGAGGTTTACATATTTTTTATTGATGTTTATTCCCTTAAGTGAGTTGACTTGCAACAGTAACGTCAAAGTGGCCATGTAGCAAAAACAAAATCTCTAATTCAGCAGAGCTGGAAAAATTTTCAAAGTCAGCTGTTTAAACCCAACTTTTGCAAGCTGGCTATAATCTAACCATAATTTACTGTTAACTGACTAAAGTCCTTTGAGAATAACCAGCAGCTCACTAATTGATATAGTAATTCTTAAAGCACTATTTCCCAAAGCATTGCTTAAAAGACACCAGCAATTCAGGTTTTGTCACTAACCCCTTTTGTCACCTTCTATGGTTTTTGCGTATTTTGCATAGACCCCCAATGGTGACATAGTCACTTTGGTGTACGGTGATGTGGGGTGCAAGGACAGGTAGGTTATACTTACCTGAACATGTCTCTCGCAGCCGCCATCCTTTTTGCTTCCTGGTTCTTCATATGCCAGGAGCCAACATCAGTGCTGTACTCTAGGACATGCAGGAGAGTAAAACACTGATATCTATATAGGATCCTGCGAGATCACAGGACATAGACAAAGCCTTCTTGCCCTCAGCTCTACTTTTTTTTTTTTTTTTTAGAGGGGATGACAGATTTGCCTTAAATCATGGACTGCTGATATATCTTGGGTACTGGGCTTGCAACCACTGTCCTAGAGCATTATTTGACGTTACATTTATTTTATTCTTTATTTTTTTTCTTTTACACATGATAAGAACCATGGACCATGCAAATTATGCAGAGCAATATAATGTCCGAGAAATGGGCTACAATGAATGCTGACACTTACCTGAACACTTTAGGGCAACAATATGACCAGAGATGCAACCATACCTGAACAACAGAATACAAAAATATAAGACTACACATTATAGAGTTTTCACCGTCTTTTGAAAAAAGAAATAAATAAAATACTACAATATATTTTATTTACAGAGTACAATTAGATCTTGAGATCCCTTCAAGTCAATAACTGGAGCAAAAATAAGCTATAAATGTAATTTATTAAATAGGTATCATAAATCTACAATGACTGTATGATAACAGTCATGGGTGGTGAGAATGAAAAGAAAAAAAATAATTTTCAAGATTTTTCATATTGTGAAACCAACATCAATCAGTCTAGAAAAACACCAAGAATATCAAAAGTCAGAAGTAATTAAAATGTATAATTAGCCAAAAATTAGAGGTTAAGATATCTACGAATCCTGTCTATCTGTGAAATTTAGAACAGATAAATGCTTGCTATTAGTTCACTTTTCTATATATATTTTCTAATTACCGAGTTAATTTGAACTCTGGGAACATTCAATATAACTGAATGCGCCAAGCAACCAATCAAAAAGCAGGATTGATTTTACAATATTTTAACTGATCTTTGCCTAGCTCCACTTTCTGTGAAATGTGATGAATCTTTCCACAACGACAAGAAACAACCAAATGTTCTAGATACGCATGTCATGCTATTTAATAAGAAATACAATTGTAAGAAAGGGTGTATGGTCCTTTAAGTCATAGTGAATTCTGTTTATAGTGACAGCATGACACCATTATGTCAGATATGACAATAAAGAGAAACCACCCGTAAGAAATACTTTTATGTATGTTCATAAAATAGAACCGCATTACATGCAGTATTGATATAATGTCATATGGTTCTGATATCTTTAACCTGAAACAGACATGAGATTAGGAATGTAGGGTGACATGTGGAGGATTCAGACTGGGAATTTGATGAGCTTTGATGTGACAGTGGAGAAAATTAGAACCTTTAAAACCTATTGGATAGCTCTACTTAATCTCAAATGTTGGCCACCACTTATAGACTGTCTTCAACTTTTGCCAAGTCTATTTATAGTAATTCGCTTTTAAATGATGTCCCTTTTATACACAGTATGCAATTAATTCATAGTAGACTCTTAAACCTAGATAACACTTTTAAAAAAATGTATTTTTGTATTTTATGACCAGTAGAAGTTAATACAACTCTGGTTCCTGGCCTCTTAATAAATAATGAAATAAAAAATATAGGTTTGCCGAGCTACACAATAATTATTGAAAGACATCTCCAGTCTACAGACAGGTATCTAGCTATAATTTAGAGTATACTTTTATATAATCAGCAATATCATACTGCAGCTTGGAAAAGTGAGATTTTGTTTTAACAAGGAATTTATTTATTTTTCATTTTCTAGTCATTTAGAGTAATATCTATCTATCTATCTATCTATCTATCTATCTATCTATCTATCTATCTATCTATCATATGTGTAGGATTTTTGATGGAAGTTCTCACGCTTACAGTAAATTAATTTCTCTTTAGAAATTATTGTCTCAATTATTCAGCTACGTTAGCAGTATACAAAATATAATTTGCACTGATGGATAGTGTGGCTGAGTTAAATTCTACTGTATTCATCCTAGAATTGTTTATATTAAAGCTCATAATCTGTTACAACAGGACGGTGCATAAAATAAGCATAGGTCATTGTAAGAATGTGGATAGTCTTTCAATGATGGTCTATATGTCTGTCTGATTCAGGGTAGGTATTTTGTGTATTACCTACCTGATTTGCCACGTGTGCTCCGTTCCAGTGGTCTGACTTAGTGGGACTTGTACAAACTCCTGGCTTTGATTTAACTTGGCATCTGTCATGTTCACACCTTTATGGTGCAACAGTCTTGGAAACAGAAAAGCAAGAATATAATCACACCAACAATTGGACTATTTTTTTAGCTATATGATCTCTTTAATTAACAATATTATGCTTAAGCATGCCAGGTCCTCTTCCTAGAACCTTGGGGTCTGTTCTATGAGTATTGTGTGTGAATGTGTGTGGTGGCTGAATTTTGTATGTGTGTAGGGCTGTGAGCTGTGGAGTCTGAGTGTGCCTGTGTGTGCTGGTTGCATGTTTTGTATGTGGTGGCTGAATTTTGTTTGTGGATGAGTGTACATGTTATCTGTGTGTGTGTTTAAGGGAGTCTGAGTGTGGCTGAGTGCTATGTGGGTGCTGTGTTTGAGTGTGTGTAGCTTCCCTTCTGTTAACCTTTCCATGGTGGTCCAAGGGAGGCACATGAGTTCAGAATCCCTGGTGGTCCCATGGAGGAGCATTGTGGGCTGACCCAGTATCAGTTGCAGACCACCTTAAGAGCTCCGACTTGGTCCAGGACTTAGTTAAAGCTTCCTTGTAAAGCTTATGGGTAATTCTTCTCTGTTATTATCCCATCTCCAAAGTCTAATACATAACGAAGCTGCTGCTAACAATAAAACTTTATCTCTTATAAACCCCTACTGAGCATGGATTCTTAAGATCAGTAGTAATTATCATGATAATATTGGACGGTATCATTAACTGCTCATTCTCGAAGATGTTGATTCTACCTGATGTATCCCAGATGTCTGCATATAAAAGTCCCCCAGGTTGAGTTCCATCTCTCGTGACAAGTCAGGAGCCATTCTTGTCTGTCTTCCACCTGCACTTCCAACAAGAAGTTTTCTGTGTTTATTCTGAAAGATACTGAAGTAATTTTATTATAGAATAATATCTAGTGAGGGCACCAAGACATTACCTTTCAGACTGTTTAACTCCAAGAAAGTCCCATCAAAACAAAAATATACTACATTCTCATTGTTCATGACCACTGCTGTGATTGCACGATAAATATGTGGGACCTATGCGATTACTTCTAACTATTTACTGTTACTTATAACTGATTTACTATTATTATTTTGGTCGCCTCTGCCATTTCCAACAGTGGGACACGTTTTACCCTTTTATCTTGCACCTGCTAACAATTATAATAATAATTATTATTATTATTATTATATACTATTTCATGTCTTTTTTCATGTTTTTCTTTCATATTTTGGAGTGCACGTCACATTCACATGTTATATATTGTTTTTGGGCTGATGTGGGTAGCCAACAGTGCCATACATGTGTAATCATATGATGCATGTACTATTTCAGTATATAATCATTCATATACTTTAATGCAGCTATATAATAATTTAGGTATCACATTGTAATGAAATAAACAGTAGCTTGATCTAAGATCCCATGGCCAGGTAAAGTAGTCCGCTATTAGTGTGAACTGTTACAGTGACTTTCGCCCACTGTAGCCATTATTAGTGCTAGCTTTTCAGTAATTAAATGACAGTAAAAAACGATGAGATTTTTAAAATTTCTGGTACAGCCATCAATTTTAGAAACATTTTATTTTTGTCACTCTTTGCCTTGCAATGCATATATACTTTCCATAAACAAACTATTCGAATCGCTACAACAATTCAGTTTGCTAAAATGCCTCTCTTTTATGCTTCTCTTTAATGTTATGCTTTGAGCTGTATGCCCCCCGTTGTGAATTGGCATGCAGCGTTTTATTAGCATCTTATAATGGCAAATTCCTAAACCAAGCATTTCTGGATTGATCAGTAATTCACCTTTACTACAAAGATCTACACTATTCACTGGATGCTAGAAGAACATTATTTGTTAAGACTCTTTAGTCTTTTTGGACCTCGACATCCTAACGTGTTGGTCTATGGTTCCATTTCCTTATGCGAAAGAAGGACAGCATTGATTTTTATCCATAAAAGAATACATAGTTACATACATACAAGTTCACACAGGAATTGGCTTTATGTAATGACAACCTGTTGTAAATATTTAAAAAAATTTTTTACTGGATTTTTTTTTGTCCTGGCAATATTAGAACATGCACAGGGGCAGAAATCAAGAAAAAAACTAATTCCCAAACCTTTTTTAGGTGGCATGGCAGTGACATCGTTGTCTGTGTCATTGCATCGAGCCGTCACCTCAGCATCTTGTAAAGGAACGGAATCTTGATAAATGACGGGCTTCATGAAATATTGTACTGAAAATATTTAAAGGTATAGGATAAACATTCTATTGTTGCAGGGGATTGATTCCTTTGCTACTGAGATTCCTACTCACTTCACTAAGAAATATTGTAGGAAAATTATTATGAATTATATTTAATTTAGAGAGATATACTTTGCCTTCAAAATGTTCAGTTGTATAAAAACGTATGTATCCCCCCCCCCCCCATTTTGGTCCCAATCCATCACTCACTTTGCACATTGTGAGTGTCTCTAAACATTTGTTTTCACTGTGACACCAGAGGTCAATTCAGGTACAGAAGAACAGGTAGGTATTCAGGACTGCCTTGAGGAAATCCTGGACTGTTTCCCAAACATCTTTTTTTTCTTAGTTCCCCAACAGGTAGATTGTAGGCTTACAAGTCAGATTGAAAAGCACTTTGTATAAAATTGCTGTGAATGCTAAATTTTAAGATCACTCCCATGGTCTCCTTTTTATTTTTATACCGATACATCTGAATTGTACTGTCAGATATTTTTCCCAATTACTCAGTGCTGTGGACTATATTTATGCTTTACAATTTATAAATACACTATATGATATCTGTTAATATTGTTTTGTACAGTACTACGGGAGTGAGACAGCAGACTGGAATTGTGTAGGATCTATACTAGCAATCAATTTTTTGTGTGTTGGGCAACTATCTAAGTGTATTCCAGGCCTGGACTCGCCCGCCCAAGTGGATATTTCTGTGTTGTTTCAATGTATCCAGGTACGTGCTTGCTCGCCAGCTCATAACTTTATGTGATACCAATTCACACAGGTCCACAAGATGCCTTACATGAATTGGAAGAACAGAGTTGCATGCTTTGCTCTGTTTGTTAAAAACATATATCCATACATAGCTGTCAGCTTAGAAACTATAAATATGGAAAGCGAATACACAGGAGAGATAACATTATGCATAAGTCTATAACATTGAGCAACATCTAATGGTAAAAATGTTTTATTGAGCAATAAGTAGAACTGTGATGTTTTTTTTATTCATTCATCATTTTGGGCAGACTAGATGGGCCGAATGGTTCTTATCTGCCGTCACATTCTATGTTTCTATGTTTCTATCCTTTGAATTGTGAGAAAGGACATAACTGAAATCCTTTTGTTCTTCAAGGTTGTAGTCCTCACATCCTGGAAATCAAACTCTAACAGCTTTTCAAGCTTCACTACATATTCTGTATTCCTTTCATGTTTTCCAGTCTTTAGCATGCCTGGAGGCTTCAAAAGTGCTTTATCTAAATACATTTTAATGAACACCATGTAAATAGGACAACTTAAAGGACCACTATAGTGCCAGGAAAACATACTTGTTTTCCTGGCACTATAGTGCCCTGAGGGTGCCCCAACCCTCAAGGTCCCACTCCCGCCGGGCTCTGGGGAGAGGAAAGGGTTAAAACATACCTTTTTTCCAGCGCCGGGCAGGGAGCTCTCCTCCTCCTCTCTGCCTCCGATCCTCCTCTTCGGGCTGAATGCGCATGCGCGGCAGGAGCTGTGCGCGCATTCAGCCAGTTTCATAGGAAAGCATTTACAATGCTTTCCTATGGACGCTTGCGTGTTCTCACTGTGATTTTCAATGAGACAGCCACTAGAGGATTTGGAGGCTGGATTAACCCTAATATAAACATAGCAGTTTCTCTGAAACTGCTATGTTTATAAAATAAAGGGTTAATCCTAGAGGGACTTGGCACCCAGACCACTTCATTAAGCTGACGTGGTCTGGGTGCCTAGAGTGGTCCTTTAACTCAAAACATAACTTTTTTTGTTCACTAAATAGCAAGTTGTTGTTTGGCTTGGAAAAACTTAACAAACATTATTTCTTTTTAAGATTTGTATATACCTCATTATTTCTTTTTAGATTCTTGTATACCTCAGTACCTCAAGGAACGGATTTACTGACACATTAAAGGAGACATTTTCCCTTATGTAATTTAACAACTAACAGGTTTTAAAAATCACAGAAAACATTTTCAACAATCCAATTCCAAAGATAGTAGAACCCAATGGAGTCTGGTACCAAACCTGGAGCACCACAGAAGGGATTCCAAAGGCTTCACAGAGTTATATTCAGGGTCAGGAAGGAGTTATATTGAGGGTCAGGAAAACAAAATGATATACAATGTTTTGGCATCAAGCCTTAAACAGACACTATTGTCACCCATGATTTAGAATTTTTTTTTCAACTAATTCATGGATACCCCCAAAATTAAAAAGACTTAACAATGAGCCTAGGCAAACACTACATACACTTTGCCATTTCTAAAGACAAAAGCATACAGAAACTAGACATGTGCAATTAGTTTCGTTCCGAATGTTAATTCAGATGAATTTCGGGCAATTCAGATATTCGAATACTTCCGAATGTCCTAATAGCTGAATTGCCGAAGTTCCGAATTGCCGAAGTTCCGAAGTGCTGAAGTTCCAAAGCACAGAATTGCAGAGGTACTAATATACCCAGTGGAAGAATGAAGAATGTTACACTGTATAGCAGTTTAAATAAAGTATACGTATACACTCTAAATGGTTGATTGAAAGTAACCAATCACTCTAAATGGTTGATTGAAGAGAACATCTTAAGTCCTGAATTCCTGAAATTCCAAAATGTCGAAGTTCCGAAATTCCGAAGTTGCAAAGTTGCAGAAGTTCCAAAGTGCCGAAGTGCCGAAGTTTCGAAGTTCCGAAGTGTCGAAGTGCCGAAGTGCCGAAGTGCCGAAGTGCCGAAGTGCTGAACCGAACCAAAATGCGAAGTTCCGAATTG